TTTGAGTAAGGTCATGGACATATTGTAATTATTATGAGTATTTACTATTTTATCTTCGTATCAAACCAAATATATCCATTGCGAGCTTTAATTGGTATTAAACTGAGCCAGTTTGAGAACATATGTTTACATATTTAACTACCGGAAAATAAATTCCTCTTTGGTACTGAGTTTTGCATGTTATTTAGTATTTTTGTATCACGTTATGATTAAAATGGACAAATTTCTTGAATAATACTTTTAATCTTATAAGGAAAAATATTAGACCTCATACTCGTTTTGGATTTGTTACTTTTTATGATAGATAGGGGTACTAAAGTCTTGATATTTCCAGAGGGTATTAAAATACAAAATTAGCCTGTGACGGTATGCTCCTGATTTTACTTCATATTCGATTTGTCCTGAGCAACAGAAGTTCTACAACAAAAACGTATACACGATGTACTGTGCAAATATAAAACGTCATATTTATAGATGTTTGATTGACATGTTCACGCACAGATCACGCATTTCATACCACATGGGTTTTCCCTGAGTTTTAATAATCAGGGCTTCCATTTCCGGCAATTGTTTTATGGTTGAACCTTCACGAAACAATTACAAATTTTAGATATAGACAAGCAAATTATATTTGCGTGTATATCTTGACTGTTATTTAATGGAGGCCTCTGAAACTTGGCTAAACTATAAAAACAAAGTATAGTATAAACGTAGCCCTGTTGTTTTAAATGTCAGAAACTATTATTAGCTGATGACTCCATGTACAGACGTCTAATCCCACGTCTTTGAATCCACACATTTTACAGCCTTAATTAATTATTTTCTTTAAATTGTTCTTAAAAGTAATGAATTGTATGAATAGCAGATATTTAGCTCCAGATAAAAAGAAACATTTTTGTATGATTGTTATCTGTTGCCGTGATTCGGGATGTAAATGGTTCTCGTCCTCTTAATTTAGAAGTCACTGGTTAAATGTAAATATTATATCTGAAGCAGGCATATAATTTCAACTAGCACAATTTCGCACAATTGCTGTAAAAATGTAATTCCGAGAATGCAACATCAATGCAGTAAAGGCCTGATTCCACGAGCGTTTTTTCTTGGCGAAATGCAAAACATTTCTACTTACTGCGAAAGCGGACAAAGTGGGACAATTCAATATAATCGCTCATGTGCAACCACCATATTTCACAGACACAAGTTCTCGCGACGAATTTCGCCGTCGTGGAATCAGGCCTTAAGGTCCAGACACACCGGACGCGATTCGACAACGCGACGCGATTTTTCAGTTTTTGAAAAACAGCCAATGAGAGCAAATCAGTGTGGAACATATGCAGACCAAGTAACTTAAAATGTCATAGCGCTTCTAAATATTTGGAAAATTTAAACTTGGATCAAAGTTATCGGCCAGTGAAAATCGAAAAATCGCGTCGCGTTGTCGAATCGCGTCGGGGTGTCTGGACCTTTAATGCGCAGATACATGTACGCGGTCGCGTACCTATTTTTGTTATATGTGAACCTGCAATTTCACAATTTTAAACAGTAATAGAGTTTAATAAGAGAATATAAAAAATCCTAAATTTTAAGCCGTCAGCATCAATTTTGGTGATGCCTCCATATCTAAGATTCATTATAATGTTAAAGTCTACACTTCCTGTGAATTGGGTGCTTTCTTCACAAAGTGCCTAATTTTTTTACTTTTCCGCTGGACTACTTCTTCTCTTGTGCCCGAGGAGTCCTCTTGAGGATATTGCGCCTCTGACGACTCAAATATTCTCTTTGCTTGGCTTTGACTGCGCTTTGCAGCCTCAAACGGATTAGCGGTACGCCTTTGTGTGCTCACTTGCACAGTTGGCGCAATCGCTATCCCTTATGGTAAGTTTGATTGTGCCTCTTACGGTAATCATCGTCAAAAATCGAATTACATTCAAGACACTGAAGTTTTATTTCGTTTTATTTGGGTTTTGAACCGTGCATAATTGATAAAGAGCCTTCGCTATAAGAGTAATCGAGCAAAGAACATGCCCGAGAATTAGGAACTGTTGATGTGTTAGCCAGAAAACATGGGTTTCACATTTCAGCCTCCCGTCGATTTTCGACAAATAAAAGACTAATACAGTATTATATTACTAGAAATACATTTAGTTTTAAATCCAAAATGTTCGCTTTATCTAACGCCTTCGTTCTCAACTTTTACAATTCGCTGAATGCCGATTTCGCAATTTGCCGAACCGTAACGAAGCAATTTGCCGACTGGGCCGACTTGCGAAAATTATTGGGGGGTAAAGCACCCCCCCCCCACACCCCCCGCTTGCGACGGCCCTGCCAACTTATTTAAAACTAGTCATAAATTAGAACAATTGAATTCAATTGAATTGAAAGAAGAAAAGCATGTATAGCTATACTTAGATTATATAAAGTGATTAAATTGGAAAAACAATGAGAAATAATCTATACCTTATGTTGTTCCTCTGGCTTTTCTGGAGACCGGGCCATACCGCCAGGAAAACAGCACTTTCCACTATCCAAATTTTGCCACAAAAGTTTTTGCGTGATTATTTAGCGCAAATTAAATCAATTAATTATTAATGATAGGCAATGCAAAGTATTTTGATTAAGAAATTTGTACAAACTTCGCAATGGTCATGTTTTGCGCACCAATATGGGTTAGGGTTAGGTTTGAGGTTAGGATTAGGTTTAAGGTTAGGGTGTGTAATGTGTATATAGTATATGGAGGTATCCAGTTAACTTTGCAGTACACACATGGTCACTCATTATTTAATCAGAGAAATATATCGCTTGTAGATGGGTCTTCATCACCTTGCATGTGACAAAATCGATTTATCTCACCATTGCTATAAAGAAAACCTTGAAAGAAGCAACAGAGAAATTTGAGGCAAATTTATGTTGTGATGAGCATATTACAGCTCAACAAACGCCTAACCCGGTCACTCTTACAAACCATGGACATTTCATTAATGACAGAAACACAGTGGTAAGATGGGAAATGTACAAAACGTATCCTTTCATGCTTTGGGACCCATTGAGTCAATACAAAACTCTTTTCATCAACAAATTGATATCCCCTTGTGCTCTGATGACAACGATTTGTCCAATGCTTTGTTTTGTTCTGGTGAATGATACAATGGTCGTTTAGCCAGGTTAAATCCAAGGGTGATATTTGACATACACACATGCATACTTTTGGTCAGTGCAGTATACAAATGTTCTAAGGGTCATGAAATTACAGCATGCCACCCGGATGTTTTATATGTGTTAAAGGGCAGGACAGAAGTTCCATTTTTTCTGATGCATAGACATGGATTTACTTTAGAGTTAGCAAATCTCGTTGAAGAACTAATTGACAATGGACTAAGTTTCGAGCAAGTCCAGGATATGATAAAAAACAATACACGAGTATTCATAATCGTTTTGAAGCATCCTTCTGGAGAGATTTGGCATTGTCAAAGACATTTGGTGTCTTTTATGAGGAGTCGGATATGTTTTTTCCCGTGTTCTCATCACAATGTTTTCCACACCCGAGCACTACAATTTTGATTGTGTTTTTGAAACGTTTTCTCCAAAATGAATACGTCTACAGAGATTCCATGAATTCGCTTAAAGCTAAATGGATTACATGTGATCATACTTTTAAAAGCATTTGTAATATTGGATACACAAGATCAGAGGATGGGAAATGGATTAATCAAGACACTTCTGTATTTTATGTTTTGAACGAAAATGGCGAGGTGATACACTGGCAGTTCACATCATCTGAAGGGTTTGAAGAATTAAGAGGCTTGTTTATGGATATAAAACATAAAAGTGGAAACGATCCATTGAGTATCATTTGCATAGATAATTGTTGTAAATGGGATAATCTGTTAAAAGAAATATTCCCACAAACTCTTATAAAACAAGATTTATTCCATGCAGTCCAGCGATTTTGCAAGACCCTCAGAAAGAAGAATCCATTTTATCGCGAACTTTCCCAGGACTATGGAAAAATCTTTTGGCATTTTAAGGACACAGGGGACGAAAGGAAACACCTAATATAAAAACATTACTTGAAAATCTTGGTAAATTTCTTAAGAAATGGGAAGACCGCGAGCATGGTGGTATTAAAATATTGACTAAAGATCAAATAGACGCAATAGCTAAGATTCGCAATCGCATTGTTAAAGGCTATTTGAGTGGTATACCAGCTCATTGTTCTACTTCATTAAATGAGCGGCTACACAAAGACATGAAGAAATTGCTCTCCAAAAATAGAATTGGTGTACAGCTGGCCTTTGTAAAATTTTCACAATAATTCTTCCGCCACAATCAGCAGTGCAGCGAAAAGCATACAATTGAATCGTTACAAGCCAAGAAATTAAACGATTTTTGTAAAGGAAAGGAGAACTCTAATCAGGTTGATATTACATGCTTTGGTATAAAACCAAAGTGCAAAATTAGTGACTCATTATTTCACACACAAACAGTTTCTCCGCCTACTAGTCTGAATAAGTTAACAATGAATGTGTTGAACGATGCTTCTAAATCCATAGCTGAAGTGTTGGAAAAAGAAAAATATATTAACGTTAACGTGGATACTGCTGGAACAGATTAATTTAAATTGCAGGAGGACATTAACACATGCGTTACCATTTTACAACATGGTCTAACTATTTTTAAGGTTGTGTCAACTGTGAAAGAACCACTGTGGTCTTCGAAGTCAATAAACCTTTTGAAAATACCTTTTATTTTCGAAAACACAAGAAACATTTTGTCACCAGACTCGCCAAATGAAAGATCAGCCTGTGACATATAATTGCAAGTGCTTTTCGCTAACTACAAACAGTTTTTTCTATCTGAACAAGAATTTATTCGTTGTCGTTTCAATCAAGGTTGGTATTTGCAGTATCAACAATGATTATTTGATAGCTCGTTATAACAAGGCGAATTTCTCAAGAACAAGCCTCCATTGTTGCTAATTGTCATTTAATTTCTCTTGCAGAATGTCAAAGTTTTGGAGCAAAACTTCTCCGAAAGGTGCTGTCCTCTATCTGAATCAGTTCCTGAAAAATTTCTTAAGGCCATACGGTCAGCAAGACGAAGCACCAAACGAACATACCGTCTATAAAAGAATCAAGCCTGCGTCTTGTGAGTGGTTGCTCCGCCCAAAGGTTGCCACTTCAGAATTGGCCGACACAATCCAAAAGAGCCTCGAGACGCTGGAGGAAGTGAGTGGGTCGTACGCTACTGCGGTCATCGTCACTCGTCTGTTTCAAAACCGCCTTTGATGGGATTCGACAGCATCTTCCATTGCTGAACACCAGAGACCCCGGCGATCCAACAACACAAAGTGTGAAAGCACTTTTGAAATTCCTGTGCGATGACGAAATTGACAACGCAATCAACGAGGCGTACCAAATTGGTTCAGCCCTGTTTTCCATGGCCACTCATGTAATCGTGGCAAGGAACCTCGTGAGAAACATGGAAAGGTTTGCAGAAACGTTTTCACCAGTTACTCCAACGGAGAAAACCATTACAAGTTTGAAAAGAATGATGACGTCTTACTACACGGAAGGGATCACTGCACCGGACGGCAAAAAACATGGCAGCAGAAAACGTTTGTTCGCGGAAATTGACTCCGACCAAGAAAATTATCTCTCTGGGAGTGAATTGTCCGAACAAGAACTAGTGCGCACCCCAACCAAACCAAGAGAACGACAAAGTTTTGGTAAAGAACAAGTCTCTAACAGAAAAGTGACAGAAACGAAATCGACAAATGAGGAGGAGAATCAGCCGGAATGGGAGAAAAGAGGAAAGCGAAAGAAAGTAGATGGAGTTATAATGGAAAGTGGATCTTCAGAAAAAGGACTATTGTGGTGAGCAACCAAAAGAGAAGAACAAGACGCTGTTACTCAAGCGAAAGTATCAAAGCAAAAGCCGACTGAAAAGATATCCACAACAGGAGAGGACCAGCAGCCGATAAGAAAGAAATCACAAAAGGGAAAAAAAAAGTGAAAAATAAATTTGACCATGAAACGTGATTTTTCTGTCTTTAAAAGAATATGGGACCGTAATTCATGGTAAATTTCTTTTAGCGATTTTTTACCCAAAGTGATTTCAAAATGTGAACAATGTTGAGTGAACTGCAAAATTGGAATAATGATAATGCCTCATATAAATGTTTAAAGTAATTAGTATGAATTTAAGTAGCATTTGTGTATTGTATTTAAGGGTGGGTTGACTACAAAATTTTTGTAGTTCGCTATAACTACAGCTACTTCAAAAATATGTAGTCGGCTACAACTACTGCTACTTTTGAACAAAAGTAGTTCGCTACTGACTACAGCTACTGCTTAAAAAATGTAGCAAACTATTTTGCTACTCTATATTTTTTAGTTTTACGGTATTTGGGCTCAGGCTGTAATTTAACCTATAACAAATCGATTTACGAGTAGCAACAGTAAACAAAAAGGGTCAAAGAAACATTTTTGTAAACACTATACAGTGTTCAGGAGTGCCACTTTTCAATGCGCTAAAATAATCTTTGCTGTATAAAATAATCTTTTAAGCAAAATATTATATTCTACGAACGGTTGCTAACAATTTTAAAAAGTAGCGAATAGCGATTCGCTGTTTGAAAAGTAGTCAACTACTTGGCTACTTTTAGGCAAAATGTAGTTCGCTATAACTACAGGGCCGTCGCGAGCGGGGGGTGTGGGGGGGTGCTTCACCCCTCCAATAATTTTCGCAAGTCGGCCCAGTCGGCAAATTGCTTCGTTACGGTTCAGCAAATTGCGAAATCGGCATTCAGCAAATTGTAAAAGTTGAGAACGAAGGCGTTAGATAAAGCGAACATTTTGGATTTAAAACTAAATGTATTTCTAGTAATATAATACTGTATTAGTCTTTTATTTGTCGAAAATCGACGGGAGGCTGAAATGTGAAACCCATGTTTTCTGGCTCACACATCAACAGTTCCTAATCCTCGGGCATGTTCTTTGCTCGATTACTCTTATAGCGAAGGCTCTTTATCAATTATGCGCGGTTCAAAACCCAAATAAAACGAAATAAAACTTCAGTGTCTTGAATGTAATTCGATTTTTGACGATGATTACCGTAAGAGGCACGATCAAACTTACCATAAGGGATAGCGAGTGCGCCAACTGTGCAAGTAAGCACACAAAGGCATACCGGCTAATCCGTTTGAGGCTGCAAAGCGCAGTCAAAGCCAAGCAAAGAGAGTATTTGAGTCGTCAGAGGCGCAATATCCTCAAGAGGAACTCCTCAGGTACAAGAGAAGAAGTAGTCCAGTGGAAAAATTGCAGGTTCACATATAACAAAAATGACTTGCATGATCAGAAAGCTTACAAAAAACTGCATATAAGACTTTTAAACGGCTGCTTTATTTTCCAAGCGATTTTCCAGTTATTGCTATTTAAAAACGTGATAAATAGGCAAAAATCCCGCCAAAGTCCTGGACACTAGCCCTAAAACATATTTTCAACCGCTCATAACTCCAGAGGAGTTGGAAAATCAAAGTAACTGCTTAAATGTCTTATATGCAGTTTTTTGTAGGCTTTCTAATGACGCATGTCATTTTTGCTATATGTGAACATGCAATTTCACAATTTTTAATTGTATAAGAGATTAATAAGAGAATATAAGAAATCCTAAATATTAAGCCGTCAGCATCAATGTTGGTGATGCCTCCATATCTAAGATTCATTATCATGTTAAAGTCTACACTTCCTGTGAATTTGGTGCTTTCTTCACAAAGTGCATGATTTTCTCAAATATCTGTGCATACCCACTGGACTAAAGACCAAGAGAAAGACAACTTCTTTAGTTCTTTAGCGAAATTACTGTTAACTCTGATCAGCCTACGCCCTACAGTTTTGAAAGACATACCGCATACAGCGATCGGTATCATCAGTTGTATTTCCGTTTTACTCGCTTTCTGATGCATAAAATTAGTTAAACGCTTGGAAAATCGGGTCGTACAAAAGCCCACTATCCACCACTAAGAGTGTTTTAAGACTGCTTGAAATACAAAAAATATATAAATTGTTTATTCCGTGCCTGGGGATAAAAAAGGTCAAATTCATCAAATTGAGATGAAAATATTGAAAAAAATATCAATGCAATCACATGCAGATACTCGGATAGCTTTGCTGACTTTGCGGAGATGCGCGTCTGCACCACACAACACTTTGTACTTAGACTATGTGCACGCAGTAACGTCGATGCCAAACATTCGTTTTCTATGTCTGGAACGTTTGGTCGTTTTGGCACTTTGTTATCGTGTGAACAGGAAAGTGGAAGGCGAAAATAAATGCCGTGTTTGAATTTGGAAACGAAGACTAAAAACTAGTGCTTTGTCAAAACTATGTTGCGAGAAAAATGATCAATGTGAACAAGGCACCTAAACGCTAAATTTGAAAACTCCACTGCAAAAACGCTCAAAACCGTTACCGTGTGCACATAAACATAGTCTCAGTCTCGATTTAGGACTTATTTAAAACACAATATAAACCGCTATGCTAAATTTAATTTTTTCAGCTTTAGGCCCCGTTTACACTATACAGGATTCGCTTGTCACGACATCATCTTCTGCCGTTAAGGAGCAATGGTTAGTAGCAAATGCTTATTAGTTTGACAGAATTGGCATATTTATTTGGGTCTCTGAGATTAAAAATCTTCACAGCCTTTCAATACCTACAAAATTTGACCCACTCCGATAGCAACCGGTATAGTGTAAACGGGGCCTTTAATGTATGTTTAACATAAATAAATTAAAATAATACTCCTGTTTGAAAACAAACGCACAAATGAAAATAGTGTTATTAGGGCAGGTTCATATTGAGCTGTGGCCTGTGGTTCCAGTTATTGCGTGCTTCGACTTCGTTACCTTATATATGCATATATGTTTGTTCTTAAAATGTCATATTTTATATATAAAGAAACCTGATTGCATTGTAGCAACCGACCCACGAACAGGCATCCATTTCAAAACAAGAGCCATATTGGTGTCCGTCTTATTACAACAACACCAATATGTTTTTTTTTCTGTGTTGGTGTTGTGCACTCCTGGTGAATAATATCTTTGTGATGTTACTCTGAGTTTATATCCACACCGGGCGAGCTTGAAAAATATGCCCGGCCACGGTGGGAATCGAACCTACGACCTTTGGAATACTAGCCCAATGCTCTGCCAACTGAGCTACGCGGTCAGGACAGTTCTAGTACACCAATATGGTTCTCATTACCTGTATCTAAACTTTAAATTTTTTTTAAAAAACTCTACAAATTCAACTAGCGTCACTTGGCAATTTGACCTTCGATACCCCCCAATCCATATCCCTTCGCAACGGCCCTGTAAGTTGGTGGATAGAGAATAAATTTTCTACAGGGTGTATAAAAAGAACTAAACGGATTTGAAATTGCTCTCAATTGCACAAAACAGCTATTAGTGTCCAGTTTTTTACATATACAGTTTCTTTTGGTACTTACAATGTAGAAAAATTTCTCGAAGTCAAATTTTATAAACCAGGGAGGTGTGTTTTCCCAATAAACTAATAATGGCTTACACACATAATTTAAGAGCTTTTCAAAGCTTAAAGGTGCCCTACAGTCCGATCTACGCATGTGCACAAATGAGCCCACTTTTACGACACAAACAGTTTTGTTTCTTGATCATTTATTATGCTCTAGAAGCTTGAAAATATAAATAGTTGTCGATATTTTGGACACAAAAATGTAAACAACGGCTTTGTTTACATATGGACTGTAGGGCACCTTTAAAATCTTATTTTGAGTTCATGGATGTGATGGGTTTTTAATTACTCTACAAAATGTCAGATAATTTGCTTTAGTTTAAGCCTTTAACTATTCATTTTTTCCTAAAAAATCAGCCATTCGCATGCTTATTAGAGGGTTGTCCAATACTGTAGCAAGCATACCGACGGTTAGTTTGGTGAAAATATTTCTACCATCGGTGTCCATCCGTACCGATGGAAAAATGAATATACCATCGGTAAATAATGAATGTTCACCGGTACCGATGGTAAGCCAATTCACCATCGGTAAATAGAGATTGTCCATCGGTACCGATGGAGAAATGAATTTACCATCGGTAAATTTGAAAAGTCCGTTGGTGAATGAGGTAGTTAGCAATATTGCTATGGCATAAGGTAGCGCTCCAAAACACTGTCCGTCGGTACCGATGGTAAGCCAATTCACCATCGGTAAATAGAGATTCTCTATCGGTACCGATGGAGAAATGAATTCACCATTCGTAAATTTGTAAAGTCCGTTGGTGAATGAGGTAGTTAGCATTAGTGAGAGAGGCTAAGGTAGCCCTCCAAAACACTGTCCAAGCCAATTCACCATCGGTAAATAGAGATTCTCCATCGGTACCGATGGAGAAATGAATTCACCGTCGGTAAATCTGAAAAGTCTGTTGGTGAATGAACTAGTTAGCATTATTGCTATGGCATAAGGTAGCCCTCCAAAACACTGTCCGTCGGTATTGTCGGTACCAATGGTAAGCCAATTCACCATCGGTAAATAGAGATTGTCCATCGGTACCGATGGAGAAATGAATTCACCATCGGTAAAATTGAAAAGTCTGTTGGTGAATGAGGTAGTTAACATTATTGCTATGGCATAAGGTAGCCTTCCAAAACACTGTCCGTCGGTACCGATGGTAAGCCAATTCACCATCGGTAAATAGAGATTGTCCATCGGTACCGATGGAGAAATGAATTCACCATAGGTAAATTTGTAATGTCCGTTGGTGAATGATGTAGTTAGCAATATTGCTATGGCATAAGGTAACCCTCCAAAACACTGTCCGTCGGTACCGATGGTAAGCCAATTCACCATCGGTAAATAGAGATTCTCTATCGGTACCGATGGAGAAATGAATTCACCATCCGTAAATTTGTAATGTCCGTTGGTGAATGAGGTAGTTAGCATTAGTGAGAGAGGCTAAGGTAGCCCTCCAAAACACTGTCCGTCAGTACCGATGGTAAGCCAATTCACCATCGGTAAATAGAGATTCTCCATCGGTACCGATGGAGAAATGAATTCACCGTCGGTAAAATTGAAAAGTCTGTTGGTGAATGAGGTGGTTAGCATTATTGCTATGGCATAACGTAGCCATCCAAAACACTGTCCGTCGGTACCGATGGTAAGCCAATTCACCATCGGTAAATAGAGATTCTCCATCGGTACCGATGGAGAAATGAATTCACTGTTGGTAAAATTGAAAAGTCTGTTGGTGAATGAGGTGGTTAGCATTATTGCTATGGCATAACGTAGCCATCCAAAACACTGTCCGTCGGTACCGTCGGTACCGATGGTAAGCCAATTCACCATCGGTAAATAGAGATTGTCCATCGGTACCGATGGAGAAATGAATTCACCATCGGTAAATTTGAAAAGTCCGTTGGTGAATGAGGTAGTTAGCATTATTGCTATGGCATAAGGTAGCCATCCAAAACACTGTCCGTCGGTACCGTCGGTGCCGATGGTAAGCCAATTCACCATCGGTAAATAGAGATTGTCCATGGGTACCGATGGAGAAATAAATTCACCATCAGTAAATTTGAAAAGTCTGTTGGTGAATGACGTAATTATAAGGCAACCTCGCATCCAGGCTGTTATGAAGCACCCAAGCTCTCTCTTGTTAGACTGGGTGCGAGGTTGAGTATCAGGTAGTCCTCAAAAACGTTGTCTGTCGGTACCAATGGTAAGGCAATTCACTGTCGGTAAATACGTATTGTCCGTCGGTAGAATCGTCTCGAACAACGATGCGAAAATGTATTATATGATTATACTATACTGTCGATTGTGATTTCGTGCAGATGGAGACAGAGATCATCAACGTTGATACACAATGAGTAAATGCGCTATAACTACTTATTATATATAAATGCTATAGTCTCTATAGGATAGGACCTACAAATATTTGTCATTTAATACTGATTAGCATTTTATATATACATGTAGTGGCTTCAGGGAATTATTACATGCAATTTATTCACGTCATTTAGGAAGTTCGGTTTATTAAATTCTTCGCAATGTATCAAATATATAAACGCGTACAGGTCCTACTAAGTACTGGTCAATAGCAACAGACTACAACAGATTAAACACGTTTGGGGAATATAATAATATATAGCCTACAATAGTGAAAATATATAATCATAGCCGCACGTCTATGCCCATAATATATATGAATACAGAATCAGTGTTTTTCAAATATGGGATAAGTCTTCCTTTAGTCACCCAGGAAAAATATAATTTAAAAACAGTGCAGCTCATGACTCTCGACTACAATATGCGCACAGCCATAAATTACCAATTAATATTGATTAATTTGCCCACAAAATATTTAGTAGACTGCAGGTAAGGCATGATTGAAATATATTAATTAAGAATGCTTCCAAAGGCAGGACAGTGTACTTTGAACGTATTAATATATGAATTGTTAAACAGTCAAGTAATAAACAATAAGTAATATATCACAAGAAACAAACTTGACTCAGTTTGAGTCCTGGGTGAGTTCCTGCTGTGTGAGTTATAAACGCCAATATGACCAATATAGTTGACGCAGCTGTTTTCAGTTTCAAATTACTGATATACTGTAAACTTAAAGTTTACCGTCACTGTATTTTTTAAAATCCACAGTGAAATAAAACATTTAGATAGTAAACTCGAACGAATTAACCCGGGTATACTTGTCACATTAATGACATTGTTGAAGACCTTTGTTAGTGTTGAAGGTGATGACAGTGTGTAGGCTCTGAACAACAGATTAATTTGCCCTAAAAGGCTAAAATCGAAACAGATTTACTTTGTATTAAAATTGTAAAATTGCAATCCTTATTTTCGACGCTTATAATTTCTTGTAATGTAAGTGCATTGTCCAACAAGTCTAGGTGGTTTGCCATAATTGTAAAAAAATATGGCCACGACGATTTGCGGATAAAGTTGAGACAACTGTTGTGCAGTGGAAGAAGGCAGTGCGTAGAATGAAAATATGGACGCTATACCAGAGGGCTATGTTGTGTGCAATGACGTAGGTGCAACAAAAATATTTAGTTGACATTAATAGGTGACATTGATGTCGCTTTGTTTGAAAATTGACAGGCATGAAGACTAGCTTTGCCGGGCTTTGGCATGAGAACTCTTAAATATGTAGAATAGGAATTATAAAAAGGAATATAGGTTATAAGATTATGAATTTTGCACAATTATAAATATTAGATAACAATGTATGATAACTGTTATTGGTAATGAGTGGTTGCAGTAGAAATGAAGTGATCATGCATGAAAATGGGAAATATTTGTGGTATTAAGCATACCAGCACGGTTGATAATTGAATGAAATGGGTGAAGAATGGTGGAACATAGGTCATAGATCCTAGGCTGAAACACTTAATCTGGAAATGAACTATATAGAATATTCAGCTGCATTCAATAGGTATAAGTTAAAACTGAAAGTTTACTGTCAGTCTTAGTTGTATTTTTTAAATCCAAAGTGAAATAAAACATTTAGAAATTGAACTCGAACAAATTAAGCGGCGTACTTTATAGTTAGCTTGGCTGTCTCTGGTAGTACGCTGGAATTCATGCAGATCGCTTGCCGATTTGTAGAAAAGTGTAATTTCATCTTGACGAGTTTGATATGAAACTTGGAATCTTGGATATGCGGTCGGAATGGGAAACGCAATTTCGCTTGTCAAAAACGTTATCTCTTTAAACTTGTCACATTAATGACATTGTTGAAGACCATTCATATTGTTACTGTTGAAGATGATGACATCATGTAGGCTCGGAAGGACACTAATGAAAACATGCCGGTGATATTAAAAAACTAGAGTAAGTTGTATGGGAACAGATTAATTTGCCCTAAAATTGTATATAAAATTGCAATCCTTATTTTGGACGCTTATAATTTCTTATATATGGCACGTTTGGAGGAAAGGTCCTTATAGCCGTCGCCGTCAAAACGTTTCGTATGTTCCCCTATTTACATGCTGACGTAGTGACGTACGTGGCACGACGCAATATTGGTATTTTATTTCAACATGAAGCGCGAATATATCATGGGGTAGCAGGCAGCGATTGGAAGAGTTTCTAACGATTTAGAAAAAGAAATGCCAAAGCGAAATATATTAAAATACGATATTGGTGTTTGCAAATAGTATAGAGTTAGACAAATGGCAGAAAAAATATAAAAGTGGACGACGACAAAGGTTTATTTTTGATACTCCTTAATTTGAAATATTCACACGCACGAATGCGCGCACGGTGTCAATTGAATTTGTGTCAATGTGCGCATAACAATGTCAATTAAACAATATGACGATCTTGTAGGAAGGTTTAATAGCAAGGGCATAACTATAAGATGGCATGTAGTTTTGTAAAGCGGTTCTCGATTGTAAAGGTTAAGGATTTTTTATATTGTATATAGGAAGAAAGGAACAGTAATATCATAGCAATATATTGCCTGTAATACTGTATTTTTAAGTTATTTGCAAGAGTATATATGATAAATTAATATGTTGTGGTGTGTTTGTTTAATAACGATGCTGAGGTATAATTATGGTAATATATTGCGTACTTGTGATATACGCCGCAACGGTATATGCTAGGACACAAGAGCGTGATATTATATATTGTGGGAACAATAATATATTGCAGGTTATTTATGAGAACGAAGAATCGATATATGATCATAGTGGACATATATATGATGAATGTTAGATATCGCGAATTTGTTTAAGTCATTTTATAGAATTATAGTCAAGATTAACAGCATCGTGTTTGTTTATTAAGAAAGACGCAACAAAATATATGGTAATAATATATTTATTGAGAGTTATTTACGAGAACGAAGAGTCCATACATGATTTTGACAGCGGTAGGCTATACCTATATATGAATATAAGATATCGCGAGTAAGTATAAATCTACAGGACTACAGCTATCAGTTGAAAATACCAATGGTAAATCAATTGCGGGTTATTTACGAGAACGAGGAATCCATATATGATTTTGACCGGCAGCGGTATATGAATCATAAGATATTGCGAGTTTGTTTAAGTCTTAAACTACAGGACTATAGCTAGCAGTTGAAATCACCGATCGGGTAAATCAATTGCAGGTTATTTACGAGAACGAGGAATCCATATATGATTTTGACAGCGGTATATATGTATATATATGAATCATAAGATATCGCGAGTTTGTTTAAGTCTTAATCTGCAGGACTATGTAGTTATCAGTTGAAAATACTGATAGTAAATCAATTGCGGGTTATTTACGAGAACGCGAAATCCATATATGATTTTGACAGCGGTATATATATGAGTCATAAGATATCGCGAGTTTGTTTAAGTCTTAATCTACAAGACTATACTCTATAGTTATCAGTTGAAATTACCGATGATAAATCACTTATTTTGGCCTTTTGGTGAGCGTGCCTATCCATGCTCAGCTGGAGATCACGAAACGAAAATATATTTACCGATGGTAAATCACTTATTTTCCGTTCGTACTGACGGTACCGATGGTAAGGCCATTTGGTGAGCGTGCCTATCCATGCTCAGCTGGAGTTCACGAAACGAAAATATATATTACCGATGGTGAATAATCTTTTCCGTCGGTATGCTTGCGAGAGTATTGGACATGTATGGCTTATTAATGCATTTACCTAATTTGCATATTGCTGACATAAGCAAATTAGGCAAACACATGAATTAATTAAGCATGCAAAAGGCTGATTTTTTAGGAAAAAATCAATCTTGCCCAGAGTATGCCTGTTTGAGGGTTATGTAGTGGCAATACATAACCTGCGAACAGGCATACTATGGGTTAAAGGCTTAAGAAGCAAATTTTCTGAAATTTTGTGCAGCAATTAAACTCATAACACATTTTTCACCCATGCCATTAACTCAAAATACGATTAAAGCATTTAAATCTCATGCCCAAGCCATTTTTAGTTTGTTGGAACCCCCCATGGTTTACAAAATTTGAGTTCAAGAATTATTTTACATTAGGCCCGGTTTAGACGGCCAACTTTTCATGTGCCGAATCTAATTGTCGTAAACTGATTTAGACATCGAACTTAATTCTACCGTACCAAATTGTGAGGACACTATATTGGGACGTATTTACAATGCAAATATATGATAATCATATGTTAAAAAATAATTTTGCATTAGGGACCATTCATTATTTGTGACTGGGGGTGGGCTGGCAAAATTCAATTAACTAAACAAAATCTCCTGCCTCACCCCTGCATCACAAAAAAATTCAATGACCCCCTCACATGAATTCTAAAAAATAGTACCGATAATATAGTAAATGTACTGTACTGTATATAAATGAGCTCTTTAAACTTGTCAGGGTTTGTAGATCTTTCATTTACTTGTGCATTCAACAATTAATATGCATCCCTATTTAACCCATTATGCTGCAGAGTTTCCTTTTGACGAGTGAAATCTTTTGGCGTTAAACACGTAAAAAAATAAGTAGAGAGCACTGGTTAAGCTGCAGAGGCTAAAGCGGAGGGTCATACCATTTTTTGCTACCAAGGGTGTAAAAAATTGCTCAAAAAGAAAAAAGTTGCTTCGATTTGCTCGAGTCGAAGTTGCTCCAAACGCAAAAAGTTGCTCAAAAATTGCCGAGCACAATCGGGACATGCCTAGCAGAGCTTCCCCGTTGACAAGTAAAATTGGTTAGGAGTATAGGGTTAGGGTTACAGTGCTGCAGTAAGCTCCTTTTGATTGGGGAGCTGAAAGCGAGGGCCAAAGGCCTGAGGAAATTTTAAAATTTAGTCTCTGAAATGCCATTTCCTGACTTTGGAGAAGAATTGGAAGTTATAATGGTAGATGTTCGATTATTTTTCATATTAGGTGTGCATATTGCATTTTGGGTATTTGTGCATTGCATTTTGGGTCTATCTGTTCATTAAAATTGAGAATTTTGCTATTACATGTCAAATTTTTCTCCACTATAATACCACTATATTAAATAACTGGACCCCCCTTCTGAAGCAATATTTTTATTCATGACCCATCCCCCTTTTTGCCAGCCCACCCCCGGTCGTAAATAATGAATGGTCGCTTAGGTTCGGCACATGAAAAGTACAGCGTCTAAATCAATGTCAAACATGTGTCGCATATACGACTTGTCTTGTCGCATCTTTGAGTTGTGTCAAACTTAATCAAAACCTGTCGAATTTAATTGACTTAGACAACGCTCCAGTGTCGCACTTAATCCTTGCATTAGATTCGGCGCATGAAAAGTTCGCCGTCTAAACAGCCCTAAGAGGTACCCAAAGAAATTATATATATCAAAAACTTGATACTAATAGCTGCAAAAATATTGCAAAATTGAGAGCAATTTCAAATTAGTATTAATCATTATGCCAACAAATATTGATTACATTTTAGTAATTTTACCACTTATAAGCACCAATGGCCAATGCACATGAGAACTGAGATGAGTTCAGAATGGAATGAAACGTGAAGATATACGAGTAACTACATTTATATTATGGGCTGGTAGTTGTATAAAAATGTAGTTAATTTTAACTGAGTTGGCCAATAAGAATTGTTTATTTCATGTTTAACTCTGCAGTTATAACTACTTCAAATTTAGGTAGGCTTTGAGTTTGAAACCTGCCCCAAACAGTATACATGCAATAATCATATACCGGTCTACATACATATAATAGGGGCTATACAAATCTTATTTATTGTTCTTTAATCTTAATTGTCCAAATTGCCCCCGTTTTGACACCTGCTTAACAGTATTTTAATACGTAATTATTAAATTAAGTATATAGCCTACTATATATTAAACCATGGATTGTAAAATAACTGGATAGGAAACTTCCTGACGTCATTGACTGCATCCTTGTTGAAAAACGTGACGTCACGCGCATTGCGAATGTTACCAAAGTTATCGGATTTTTGTTGTTTTGCTATATTTTCCACTTTAAAAGGGTGATATTGAAGCATAAACTGGTCTAATTGTTTTAAAATCATGCCCAAGCCACGACAAAGTATTCAAGGTAAATGTTTTTCGTCTTTGTTTTGTATTTTTTTACATTTGTACCTACGAAATTGGCGTCACAAATTTTAATGAAATTTGCGATGTATTTTTCACTGTTTAGTGCTTGAAATATGTGCTAAAATTGACTGGGAATACTTAGAGTTTTCATCGTAGAATGGCGTGGTTATATTTATTTGCTCTTTGACTAAAATGTTTAGCTTGTATTATTGCTAAACATGCTGTTTTTGAGAATTTGGTTTTCAACTAGGTTGAGGCATCCAACCACGTCATGAAGCCCATTAAAAACATTAGGTCACGTCAGCTAGTTTCCTATCCATTTATTTTATTATCCATGATTAAACTGTGTAGGGTGATAAGTACTGTAAAATACACACTGATTTTAATTAAAAGATAATTTTGGCATTTCGAGCGAAGGCCCTTACTTAGTTTGTCTGAAAATTAGTACGATTTTCAGTATTTTTGGTCGGAATGTCGAAGTTATCAATGTTTGGTATAGTCAAAATGTAATACACTGACCGATATTATATACAATATTGCTTTATAGAATACTTACAAAATTAAAAGGAAAAGACTAGTCACCCCCATACACCAAGATCTTTCTATATCTTTGTTATTAATTATTATCATTAAAATTATCTTCACAAAACTGATTTTAAACCATTCATTTAAACACTTTAATACATGCTTTCACCTACAGTATCTGCATGTGTTTATTGCATGCACCAGTGGTGTTGTTTTGCAATTTGTATAGCCGTATAGTGTGTATAGTGTGTATAGTGGGTTTAGTGCATATACCATGTTTACTGTCTGTGGTGTAGTATTGCTTGTACAGTGTGTATAGTGTGTTTAGTGCATATACCATGTTTACTGCGTGTGGTGTAGTATTGCTTGTACAGTGTGTATGGTGTGTTTAGTGCATATACCATGTTTACTGTCTGTGGTTCGTGTGTATTGTCTGTATACTATGTATGTAGAGTTATAATGCGATTACATGACGTTGTGCTATATTCGTGCACGAAACAAAGGGATAACCTCTTCAAGCAGGGGGAGCAACAAGGAAGAAGAAACAGTCGCAAGGAATAGGGGGATTCAAGGTTTCCGATGCCATTCGCTCAGGGGGTGCAAACACATTGGGGCGAGCGCGCAGCCAGTGCCATTTCCCATACTATTTTATATTAGGAGCGGGAAAATTACGTTTGCACAATTTGTTGAATTTCTGCAAAAATATTAAAGAATCGTTCAATTTTACAAGTTGTGATCAATTTCTGGGTATTTTCTGATGTCTGTACGGGATTTCATCCGAATCAAAGGCCTGGAAGTGTTAAAATATGGCGAGTTCGTTGGGACGTTTTGCGAGCTGTTTATTATAGTTTAGTATTGTTTACATGTCAGCGTGTATATGAAAACATTTGGTTGCTTCAACTTTTAACGCCCGAAATGGATGAAATTTTCGCTGAACATAAAAGTTTATCATACAGCAAACCACATGGAGTGCAAACATGTAATTTAATATCTTGTGCACCTTGCTGGTGCTATTTTGTTGTTTCAAAATCTGTTATCAGTGGTGTCGCATTGCAGTTGATAGCTTTGCTTCGCTGAGATATTACAAAACTACAGATCGCCGCAGAACGTTTTTGTTGGGAATAAAACTGTTTCTAAGAGAAGTTTATACGTGTGCCAGTAATATTGTGTGGAGTTTTGGTGCAGAATAGTTTACCCATGCCAAGTAATGCTCGTTGTGCGGTCGGCTGTTGTGACAATGATAGGCGCTATCCAGACCTTTGGGTGAAGAGATCACATGTTGAGACTCTTTGTTTCCACAAATGGCCAAAAGATGAAAAGGATGCTGAAATTTGGCGTAATAATAATATAATAATAATATAATAATAATATAATAATAATAATAATAAAGACTTTATTGCAGCTTATCTACATGGTAGCTTTACATCTGCGTAACTGAAAACAACTAAATATATATAAATTGTTAATAATTGTTATAAATTTAAACTAAATTGTTAATAAGAAGAAACATTGCACTAATACAATACAAATAAATCTATTCAAGGCGTAGGAATGCTCTGGATTTCAGTAATTGTTTCACTTCCCTCATGAATACGTTTAAGTCTGCACATGATCGTACTTCTGGGGGAAGATCATTGAATAAGTTCGCTGTTGTCTCCTGGAAAGTTCCTTTTATTAATGGAATCGACAATCGTGGTGCTGCATTAGAGCGTAGCGTTCTTCCAGGGTTATATACTTCCAGGGTTAAGTACTCAGGACAAGAGTCCTTGTTGTAGATTGCTCAGTGAGTATGCTTGAGGAGGTTTAATTGAGTTCTCTCCAAGGTTGGAAGCCATCCAAGCTGTAAGACATCTTTTCCTGAACAATAACGATTAGTGACGAAGCTGGCAGCAGCGTTTTGCACACGTTGCATTTTCTTTTGTAGATATGCGGGGAGAGGATAGCAAACGACATCATTAAAGTTTAGCTTAGAAAGTACAAGACTTTCTGCTAATAGCTTTTTAGTATGTTGGGGTGTCATATTCCGAATTTTGCGCAAGGTTGAAAGTACTCCATAACAAGATGAGACAAGTTCCTTTACATGATGTGACCATTTGAGATCCTCACTAACCCACGTACCGAGTAATTTAAAATTTTCAACTCTCTCAAGGGATATATTCTTTAAGGTAAGAGGTGGCGTGATGTCTCCGAGATTATGAGTTCTTGACATCTGTCGAGTGCTTATGAGCATCTGCTTAGTCTTATTTTCATTCAACAAGAGATTGGATTCTGTGGCCCAAGTTTCGAGAGTTTGTATGTTGTCATTCATTTCTTGCACACATTGACTGAGATTTTTAGGAGTACAACTACGGTAAAGGAAGGATGATTTTAATCCAAATCCAGGTGCGTCTGGAACATTTGTTTGCTCAAATCACTTCCCAAAGGGCAAACGAACCCCAGGTAATCCTGACACAGACTACCCATCCATGTTTTTAACCTTGTCGGACTACCAGAGTAAGCCCTCACCAACAAAACGTAGAACCGGGACAAAAAGGGCACTTGATACTGACTCAGATTCGGAAGAACCTGAATCTGGAGATGAAGAAATGGAACAGCTAAGCCAGGAAGGATCGGGCAGTCATTTCATTTCAATTTGAGCAACTGACCAGAGAGTGTGATGTGAGATTTTACACTGGCATTCCTTCAACGGCAGCATTCATGTGTTTATTTGATCACTTGTCTCCTAAAGCAAGGAACATGCAATACTGGAGAGGCCCACGGCAAACAGAACGAGAATCAAGACCTGTTTCACCCTTTGACGAATATCTTGCAACTGTTGGAGTTGAAACTAGACGTGGTCCGGCACGAAAACTGGGATTAGAACAGGAATTTCTCTGTGCCCTCATCAGACTCAGACTTGCACTAATGACTGATGATTTAGCCTTCAGGTTTTAGATTTCATCTGCCTCTATTAGCAGTATCTTTATTACATGGATAAAGTTAATGTCAAAAGAGTTGGCAGTTCTCATCATTTGGCCCACTCGCACTCAAGTAAAAGCGAACCTACCAAGTTGCTTCAAAATGCTCTACCCAAAGGTGAGGTGTATAGTTGATTGCTTTGAGGTTTCTCCAACACCCCAAGCGGATTGGATTTGGCTGCAACAATGTGGAGTGAGTATAAGCATATTATACCTACAAGGTGTTAGTGGCTATAACTCCAACGGGTGCAATTTCATATGTTTCTCCTGCATATGGTGGCAGAGCAACCAACATTTTCATTGTTCGTGATTCTGGGTTCCTCGACCTCATTGAACCATATGAAGTTATGGCAGATAGAGGGTTCAAGATCAGGGAGAAACTCATGATGAAGATGGCAACATTGTGCATCCCACCAAGCAAAGCAAAGTCCATGCAGATGATACCGTCAGATGTGAGGAAGACATCAAATATTGCTAATGTGAGGATTTATGTTGAGCAAGCAATTGGCAGAATGAAAGTGTTTCACATTTTAAAGAATGAGTTGCCAATTAGTTTGCTTCCACTGGTCGGTGACATTGTTCGTGTTTGTGCTGCTTTATGTAACCTTCTACCTCCATTGTGTGTGTAAGTTTGTAAAATGTATGGAATATAATATATTTAACTGTGTTGGTCTTAGTCAAAACTACCATAAATTGATATTTAGTAGTGTTGACTAAACACAATGCATCTTGAGGCAATTTATCAGCATATAAAGTTGGGAGAAATTACAATATGTACAGTTCATTTGAACTTCACTCATATGTGCAGATGGATTGCTGTCTAAATAATGCCTAGTCTGAACACATACATTATTTGTCACATTGTTTTGTAGATTACAATTAAAAAGGCCGGCAAATATAAGTATTGTGTTCAGGCTAAACCAGACCATATAAATAAACATTTTCATTGTGAACATTTCAAAAGGCAGTTTATTATGATAAGAAAATTATACATAGAACACTAATATAATGATTGACATATATATTATATTATTATTATATATAGCTTAATTATTGGTTTAGGAAACACAAACATTTCTCTATTCTATATAGAGCGAATATAGTTCAGGTAAAAAATCCACAATGGTTCGTTTCATCCACCTGTGAACCGAAGTGGATTTTTTGAGGTAAGAAAAAAACTATAGATATATATATCTTACAAGCATAAATGGTGACAATGTATAAAATTACTCTCTGCTAATATTACATAACTTACAATATATTTGTGTGATTTGTCAGAAACATTACCTAATATAGTGCACTTACATGTGATTTAAAGTTTTAAAGATTTCATTTCACTTAATATATTTTTAACACATTGTCTTATATTTCACAGTGTTAGTATATAAATGCCAATTATTCAGAATTCTACAAGTCTCCACTTACAAATGTGCCAATTAGCAAGAAATTCAGTCACAATAAATGGACAAATTACTTGTAGGTGGAACTGTTACCAAGTATACTGTGTTAATAATAACATCCTTTAGGTAGTTTGATCCATAATATATACAGTAGCACAGTTCAGACAGTAATCTTGCCTACTACGGTATTTGGTTTTGTAAATCTTTAATCACTTGTGTTAACCACTTGGCATTCACACCCCTTTTATATAGTAGTCTGCATATATACCACCAACATAACATTCATAACAATCAATACCATGTCCACATAATTGCACCGTCCAAGAATCAACTTTCTATCACCAGTGTTAATAACACCATGAATTATCCTGTATTTATACAGTACTAGTACACAAGTCCATCAGGCCGGTGGAGTGAAAACAATCCTTTTTTTCCTTGAGCTATCGAGATGCATTTATAGTATCGGTTTTCCATTAAAATTCCATACCATGGTTGTAAATTGTTCATCATTCAGTGTCATATTGTAATGTCACAGCAGGTGTAATGTTAATAGTACAACAGCAGGTGCAGTGACATACTCCATGGTAATATTTGATCTTAACATATCCTGGTGGCTTGGGGTCTGTAGACTGCTACACTGTGGTATATGGTACCATCATGAGACTGGGACATACAGTACATTCTTGTAACTTGTAAAATTGTGACTGATTTCATTGCCGCATACTTACAATGACATAAGGCATAGATTAGAATGCCATGTTCTTTTAGTCAAACTTCTTTTCCCCTAGGTAGCTTATTTAGTATGCAGTTTATTATAATATTATTAACAATCTGATGGGAATTAGTATCATAAGTGCATGTACATATTACATAGATGTGTATAGCTATTAGTGGGTTCTCCTAAGCATTATAATTAGCATTTGGTGCTATGTAATGCTTACCAAAACCCATAAATTGGTACCACTATTGACCATGAATAAAACAAATGCAAACATATTATATTGAAACTGTTCTTTTTGGACTCTGTACACACAGCCAAATGACATGTGTTTTAGGTGGGTGACACAATATGCAAATGTTTTTCAACACTTAGTGGTCTAATGAATGAAATGTTGATACATGTAATTATGTAAAGTGGACCACCAAGCATTTTCTTACATACAATGCCTTGTGAAACCCACCATAAGATTACAAACAATACAAATTGTCGATATTTTTTTTTAGATATGACACATTTTTGCTATGCTCACTGTACAGACCATTTTAGTGGTTTAATCTCCATTAAAGTAGACTGTGGCATATCTAAGTTGATTGGTTAATCCATTAACCACCAGGAGTTTAACTCTAACACCGACAAGTAAAGTAGTCTGGCATCAGACAAAGTGAATACTAAAGTAGGGGCATAGGGTGCATTGTCAGGTAAATGTTTTGCTCTTCAACTGACACTGTTATTCAATTGTACCAGTCTAGCAATGCATTGCTATGTAGCAAATCAACCAGCCTTATTATTGTCATTAATTAATTAAATTAAAATTTTAAAAAACTATAAGGACAATTTTTAAAAGGATGCACCATTGTCTGTTATAATGCTAATTCATGTTAAATTAACAACATAACAGATAATTTAACTTGTTAGTTGTTGCTCAAGAAGTGCTTCATTTTGTATTAGCCTGAACATGTCTACTTTGTTTCCTCAAAACCATGGAAAATGGCTATTCAATTAGGGAAAAATTATATCTATAAACAGTTATTACAGACCAAATTTGCTGAATTAGTAATATCTTCGTGGTTGCTGCACCATGCATGAACTTTTCCCCTACAAAGAGAACAAGTGTGCATTCCACCCACAGGGATAGTATCATCTAAACAAACAGAACATTAATATTAATAAAAGGAATGACTGATTTCTCTGATGCAGCACTGGTACTTGCACCAACATCATCAATGCTTTTTTCATCATCGATGCTCTTTTCGCTGTTGGTATCAACTTCATCAAAGTTGTCACCATTCAAACCACATGCATCAGAAAGGCAATTAAAGCATGTCCATGAGCTGAACAAGTCGGCAGTTCTTTTTGTTAGCTGGGCACATGAGAGATGCCAGCATGTGTTGCAACTGCAACAAGAAATGTTGCATTCCTGTTCCGGATTGTTGATTTTGGATTCATGTAAGATAACTTTCTCACAATGTGGACACTCTCGCAGTTCCCTAAAACATAATAAATATGGCAAAACATATGTTTTGTAAAATATAGTTAAATTATTTACAAGTGTCTCGAAGTATATCTGATCAAAGTATATTTTTTCATACAGAGGTTTGTTTACCTGAGTCCACACAATGAATAACATTGTTGCACACTACATATCCACATTTGTCCTTGAACCTGTGAATGGTATTTGTGTGATCTTTTCAACACCAACTCACCTAGTTCCAAAAAATCAACCTTCTTGTGAACATCCTTTGCAAAAATATCACTGTCCCTAACTGAATATGGGCATTTTATCTCAATGGTAGATGGGGGACAACAACGGCAAGTAAATATGCCATCTGGGGAACCAGCAAGATATGGGTAAGCAGACTTCGCACAAATAAACCACATGAGCGAAAACCATGTAATCCATCTACATGTTGACTGGCTATGTCAGAGAGGAATGCTTGTATGGCATCCTTCTCATGTGTTTGACCCCATGCAATTGCTGGCAGATGAGATATGTCAGCTGACTTACCAAGCAGCTGGGACACCATAGGGGAATATTTAATGGCTGTCTTACCTCTTTTCTTCATGATTGACTCTGTTTTTGTTGAAATGAAGTTATTCTGCCAGATCTTTGTTCAAACCACATCTTAGTGGTATGTTGACCTCTTGTCGAAGTCTCTACTTGTTGTACCTGCTCAGAAGACAACTGACAGTGCTCAATAAATAAAGGGACAACCTCCTCAAGAGTCTTGTCCTTGACACTTTCTTTTGACATAAAACTTAGTGCCTTTTTACTCAGTGATGGAGGAAGACTGTCATCTACCCCATGTTCAACGGAATAAAGAACACATGCTGATGGTAGAACTTTCTTTATTGAAGAAAGCAAATTAGAAACACTTTCATTTGAAATTGTCCTGTCATGAGATTTGAGAGGGTCAAATTGCTTTTCTTATCGTCTGTTCCATTGCAGGATCTCGATTTGTTACTTTTCTTAGCTTTTTATCTCCCCTAAAAGTAAGGGTGCTCAACTGTCTGGGAGTTACTTCCCTCCTAGTACCTCTGTTCCAGCCCTGTGGCATACTAGTGCATGCGGGAGAAATAAATTTCTTATGAAATGCAGTTAATTTTGTAGAGTATAGCAATCACATGATTGCACACTTCCCCAGTGCCGGCTATACAAGTGCACCAGGAAGTTATAATTTGAGGATCAGCACTTCCCTTCACACATACCCCATACTTTGTGTGGGTCATCCCGAGTCCTCTGTGAAGGGCACACCCTCCCTTTCAGAAATGTCAGGGTGGCATCAGTTGGACATTTCGATGCATAGACAGTATCCACAAAACCACTCATCCAATAAGAATATGCCTTTTCATCTTTATATTTCCCTATATAATCTATGTCAACAGCTTTGACCTTCAAAATATAACTAAACAACGTACCATCATCGAGTTGAGGCCAATCCAACACGTTGTCTTTACATGCCTCATCTGGCAAACTGTTTGGATCAGTCGAGATTTGATTCGTTTCAAGCCGTTTGTGGTATTCTTTCTTTATGTTTTCAGCGATTTGTTCTTGAGTGAACTTTACTGGAGCGTTTAACTCGTACGCTCCAAACGCTCTTGCAATCAGTTCAGCCTTTGAACCAGTTTGCTTCAAGCCACGAATACCGAGGAAATCTTTCAGTGTGGTTTTCGTCCAGGTTAAAAAATCTTCATAACTCAGACTTTCTTCTGGCTGTCTCGTCGCCATCCGTTCACTGGCGCACGAGAAAGATTTTTAATTTTCTCAAAGAGAATATAGATGTATAAAATACTTTTTTACAAGTGGTGATCTGTATATCTTGGCGAAGCGAAGCTATCAACTGCAATGTGACACCACTGATAACCTCGCTGATAACAGGTTTTGAAACAACAAAATAGCACCGGCAAGGCGCACGAGATATTAAATTACATGTTCGCACTCCATGTGGTTTCCTGTATGATAAACTTTTATGTTCAGCGAAAATTTCATCCATTTCGGGCGTTAAAACTCGAAGCAACCAAATGTTTTCATCTACACGCTGACATGTAAACAATACTAAACTATCATAAACAGCTCGCAAAACGTCCCAACGAACTTGCCATATTTTAACACTTCCAGGCCTTTGATTCGGATGAAATCCCGTACAGACATCAGAAAATACCCAGAAATTGATCACAACTTGTAAAATTGAACGATTCTTTAATATTTTTGCAGAAATTCAACAAATTGTGCAAACGTAATTTTCCCGCTCCTAATATAAAATAGTATGGGAAATGGCACTGGCTGCGCGCTCGCCCCAATGTGTTTGCACCCCCTGAGCCAATGGCGTCAGAAACCTTGAATCCCCCTATTCTAACAATCCCAGCTATAATTACAGACCCAGTTTCAAAGTTGGCTACTCACGTTTCCCTGAAAGCTGTTGCCTATAAGGGAGACACTGTTTTTGAGTGTTATTCTCATGTTGACATGAACTTCATCATGACGGGATACAACATGCCACCTTCCCGTGAGAATAAGAAGACCAGGTCAAAAAGATTGGTGGAGACTTTGAAGATTTCTGAAGTAATGCCAAGTCCAGAAAAGTTATCCCAAACATTGTATGATGATATGAAGACATCGAGGAACACATCCAATCCAGTGAGAAACACACAAGAAACAGAGCAAGGAGCAGAAAATATGGGATATCCAACAACATCTACAAAAGGTATGGTACAATGCATTGCATCCCAGTTTGTCTGGCATCACACAGAGTAAAAAATAGAGAACATTGCTGTCCACTTGGTTAACATGATGCATGGCAGATTGTTTAGTTAACCCATTGAGCTGTAGCAGATAGATAGCTTTATTTAGACACACTGACCCCATCACCCAAAGTGTATTATTTAAAGGCTATTTACAAAATATGAGCTAGTTTAAAATAACTTGTTAGCAATGTCTGCAATCAACTACATGTAGTAGAAATCTATTTACAGGTTTATCTATTTACATAATCATAGACTGATTTTGTGGGGGGGGGGGGG